GGTTAGGTCGCCTTTCTGAGGTCACCACGGCCTTGCACTGGGGAAATCCTCTTACATTTTCGTTCCTTCTTACTTGAATACGTACTTTAATATTGTATCCCTATTTTTCAGAACCTGTAGTGTCTTTTATGTAATCCTATCTTTTAGTTGAAACACCTGTAAATTTTCAGGAATTTTCTTTTCTCTTTCCCACCTCTTTGGTAGTTTTAAGAAAATATTTTATTTTTACCTCAGATGAATTATGCATCACTGAAGTGATCAGAGAAATCTTTGACAATACAAGGGTAGCTCAAAAAGTTTGTGTAAAAATGCAATTAAAAGATAACATGAATTTTTTTTGGTGGCTGGCTGGGAAAAGGGGATTTGAACCCATGACCTTCAGGTTACAAGGCTGCACTCTAACCAACTGAACTAACTGGCCTAATCTTTCCATGAACTCTTTGACGTGCCCTCCTATATGTAAGTCGTGCCTCTTTTCAACACTGATTTTAAAGATTCTCTGGTTATTAGATTAGCTGATTGATTACAGTGATAAGTTCCTGTGAATGTATAGTTAGATTTCTTAAAACCAAGATGAATTCTAGACTGGAGTCTGGCAGTTTTCCCTGTCTTTGGATTAAAATGGGAATTTTTTTCAGCTTTTGTTGGTTCAATTTTGATCCTCCAGGAAGTCCTAGGCAGTGGCTGGTGGGGGTGGGGTGGGCGGTCACAGACCTCACTGACATCACTGTGGCCTTTCACTGTATAGAACATGCTCTTCTATGCTTGGTGGGGTCTGGACTTAGGTTGGGGCCCCCAGCTTCTGAAGTTCTCCCTGGATTATTTACATCCAGGTTATTCCCTGGGGCAGGGCAGGCAGCCCTGACAAAGTTCCCTGTTTTTGGAGATCCCGCCTGGGTAGCGTCGGCAGAGCCACCTGGCCTCTCCCTGGTTCCAGGAGCTTGGGTCCCTGGCTGCGAGGCCACCACTGTCTTTTCCCCTGATTTCTGCTGACCACGTGGTTGCTCCCTGTGGTCCCTGGTTCTTCCTGTCTGGACTGGTCTCTGGTCTCTTGTCCCTGATACCCACCAGTCTTGGGGCTCCTGGAAACCCACCCAGGGCCACGCTCTAGCCTTGCTAGAGCTTTCTGTCTGTGAATTCTCCAGAGTGTGGACTCTGCCTGCTGCTCTGCTCTGATGAGAACGTGGGGACTTCCTCCTGCTTTGAGGTTGCACAGACTTGTGAGAAATGCTTCAGAGACCCTCAGGAGGCATTTGTGGTCCTCTCAGAAGATTCCAGACTGGCAGTGGTTAATGTCGGGCTTCCCCTGTCAGCTGAATGGCGTCTCTCTGCTCCCTTCCGGTGCAGCAGTTACCAGCAATTGCTTACACACCCAGGTGGTGGGGACCTGTTCATCCCTGGGTCCCGAACACTGAGTGGTTTTGGCCTCCTTGTTTGCTCCAGAAAGGCCAGCTTTCCTAGACCTGCTTAGCTGGAGTGTTTTTGTAAATAATAAGTGAGGATCTGAGCATTCTGCTTGTGTAGTTTCCAGTTTCCCACTAGTACCTCTACTCCGAGACAGGAGGGAGTACATTTCCTTGTGTGATTTGGCTATATACATTTTTGGCACAAAAAGTAAATATGTTGATGTGGCAGCTCTCAACCCTAACTGAATATGGGAAAAATCTGGGGAGCTATTAAGAAATATTTTGGCCCAGGCCCTACCCCCTGTTTAATTAAACCACAATCTCTGCTTTCACCAAAATCGCTCTGCATGAGTCACTATGGGCTACGTGGTGACCGGCAGTATGCTGCCATCAGACCGCCTGACCCCTCTTTACATGCTGGCCTTCAGCACATCCAGGGGGGCGTTCTGAGTCACGCAGTGCACCCTCCAACCCGTGTTCTCTTTCTTAAGAAGAGTTGCAGGCTGGCCGATTAGCTCAGTTGGTTAAAATGTGGGGCTAACACCAAGGTTAAAAAAAGGGTCACTTCTTATATCTGAGAAGGTCGATCGGCGTTTTGTAATCATATTCTGCCCATTCATATGCAGCTTCAATTTCCACATGCAAATTTGATTTTGAGGCTTTCTCCAAATGACTTCTGCTTGTCTGTGTCAACAGATCCCAGCTCCTTAAAATGAGAAAAGGATTCGTGGACCTTTAAGCCTATAATTCTTAGTCTTCTATTGTAAAGAATGTCACATTTCTTTTTTTGTAAACCTTTTTATAATGTGAAAGTGATAGAAAATTGTAAAAGTCATGGAAATTTTATGGGAAAGAAAGATAAGTGTAATTAAATAAATCATTCATAATTCTGCATAGCCCTTGTAGTACCTCATGATTATTCTGGTATATTTCTTTCTAATTTTTTTCTCTGTGTGTGGTATATACTTTTTAAAAACAATATTAGATCCTACTGTATACTTTTTGTTAATTTATTCCTTTTTAATGTCTGTTTAGTCTTTTTTTAATTTACCATTTAACCATTTTTAGGTGTACAGTTCAGTAGAAAGTATATTCACATTGCATATGTGTACTTGTCTTTCTAAATAACTTAATGTTGTATCGTGAACATTATGTTTTATTAAGTATCATTCAGAAATTAGGCTATTCAGTGCCATAGTCTACGGCTATGTCATTATCTCAGCAGTCCTTCACTTTTGAGCTCTGAGGGTCTTTCAGCTTTGTGGCATAGTAGGTCTGCAGTGAGCATCCCTAAATTTGAAGCATCTCCTTCTGACCATTTGTGGAGGGTAAATCCCTAGCAGTGGAACTGCTGAGTCAGAGGCTGTGTGGGGCTTTGTGCCCAGGTGTTGTGAGGGAGTTGTACCAGCAGGACTGAGCCGCCCAGCCCCTCTCTGCAGCGAGATTCTCACCTGTCCCTTCTGTTTGTCTAGTCCTCCACCACTGCCACCTTCCTTCTCCCCCATATATTTCGGCATCTTGCAATGCCCCCAGTTTGCTGGGCCTTTCAGGCCTTCACTGCGTTATATATTTCGGCATCTTGCAATGCCCCCAGTTTGCTGGGCCTTTCACAACCACACTGACTGCAGGAACATAGTGAACCTGGGCTGTCAGTTAGGGGTGTTTCCCCCCAAGTCCTTCATTTCCTCCTTTGGCAACAGGAACATCTTATCCAAACCACAGTGAGAACTTCCTTGGTACAGGCCTGTGTGCTGAATAGCAGTGAAGAGTCCTCTGGAAAGTCTTCGATGACTAGGGACTTCCAAGCTTTCTCCTCTGGAGTTTGGGATGTGTGGGCCTGGAAGTATTGCCATTAGTTAGTGGCAGGACTAAGGCTGTGTCAACATGTGGGTGCTCAGACTGAGCTTGTGTTTCTTGCTTAGTTGCCACCTTCCTGTGTTCCTGGTGTGTTCTGGGGCTGGATGCTGGGGATTTAGCAAGGACGAGCAGGGAGACTCACAATCAGCTGGTGAGCTGAGTCCCATGACAGAGGAGAGAGGTCTGCAGGTACACAGGAAGGCCACCCAGAACGGACTGATGGGCAGGGGATGGCCTGCTAGGTTGAGACTAGCTTTATTCTGGCCGACAGCTGGCCAGATGAGTGGGCTGCTGCTGGAGGGAGCTCTGTTTCATGATTCTGAACTGGTGGTAAAAATGTGGTCTTGGGCATGTGGGCATCTTAATAGGTGGGTGCTGCTATCTAGTGCTAATCAGTCACCCCCAAGAGTGCCCAAAGCTGAGAAAGTCTTCTACCAAGTGACAACTTTACAGGCCATTCATCTGAGCAGCTGTAATTTCATGTTCCAGTTTATTTGGGATTCTTTGACCTATATCTCTAAACTCATGTGCAGGCTCTTTGCTTTGTGAATCTTTTGGTTCAGTGGAATGTGTGTGTGAGTTTTCCTTTAAGACACACTGTGTAGTCTCCTGGGCTCTGCCAAACCAAGCAGGGAATGGGGATGCTGCTTTTCTGCTTCTATAAATCCCTCCCACTCTTTTTTGGAAGGTGGTGGTAGAAATGAAAACTGTCCACGTTTTCATTACATGATGCTAGTGCCTAGCTAGGGGCTTGTGCAAAGAAAACGCACGAGGCATGCTGCTCTCTTATCTATAGTCACGTGTGGTGATTGAGCAAAGACCGAAACAGAGGAAGTACTCAGTGCCATCTGGGGTTATTCTTGGGTTTTCCTGCTCTGCTCATCGTGACAAATGGCAAAAGAAGTTTTGTTTGGAAGGTAGAAAGTGACTCTGGGTTAATCCTTGAATGCAATCAGGGGATGTCTTTTCTTTTAATCCAGGTATAGTGTGCAAGGGATGTCAGCAAGCCCGGACCACCCAGGGGGATGCGTCTGTGAAGGCAGTTTAATAAACTGGAAAGAGCTTGGGCATTGGAGACTTCCTAGCTGTATGACTTTGGGTCTGCTCGCTCATCCCTGTCTCTGAGCCTCAGTTTGTCCCAGTGGTACAGTAGGACTGTGAGCATTAGCTTTTAAGTGTCTTCTTGAAATACTATCTATGGACAACAGCATGTGGTGGGCACTTGGTAAATTGTAGCTACTTGTTTCTTGTTTTATTATTTGGGAAAATGTAGTAACTTATGTGAGGGTCCAGAGCAGGGCAGGCCAGTATGCTAACCACTTGCCACATGTGCCTATTTAAATTTAAATTTGAATGGATGAAATCAAAGTAAAAATTCAGTTCCTCCAGATTTACTTTTCTGTTCTTGCCGCATTTTAGGTGCTCATTGTTGTAGAACATTTCCATCATGACAGAAGGTTCTGTTGGACAGTGCAGCTCTGGGATGACAGTTGGGTCCTGGGCAAGGGGAATTATTTAATAGAACTCTGTCTCTTGTGCTCCCGCCCTGTTTGGGCCAGCATTTTCAGACAACTTAATTTGTCTTTCAAGCATGGGAATAATTTAGACTTGAATACAAGCAAATTCAACCCTACAGCTTAAGCCCTTGTTTGCCAGAAGATATTCTGATGCTCCTTTGTTTGTTTTCAATGATTATAGCATTAAGCAAAACAATCTCTGTTCTTTTCTCATCCCCAGTGATGGATGTAACAGATATAATAAATGGAAAAGTCGATGATGAAGATAAACAACATTTCATTCCCTTTCAGCCGTAAGTATGGGGTAATCCATGTACTTAACCAGATACCATGTGGAAAACCTATGTTCATAATAATTATCTTTGGAATTAAGTTTATAAGTTAAGCACAAGTAGGGATTGATTATTTTATAATAATGAAAAATCTGTTTAGTCACTACTGTAGCACCTGGAAGTTTCTGTAGCCATAAGAATCCTGTGTTAAAGTTTGTTTGTGGAACCTGGAGGTGGATTTTATATGGGATCACTGAATTGCCTTATCCTGTAGAAGGCACAGAGTTACAATTTTGCTCTGAGCGTGAATGTTTCTTTACATAATTGATTTATTCTAGTAGCTATCCACATTTTCAAAACACAGTACTTTCAAATTCATCACAGGAGGTTGCTGTTTTTAAAATAGAAAACCAATCAAAATAATGTTGGATTCTTTTGTAAAGCAAGGAATAATACTTTAAAGCATATAATCATGCTGCTGATTTTTGTTTTGGTTTCTGCTTAAAATGGACCGTATTTGTGCTTCTCATTTCTTAGGGTTTGCCTAGTTCTGACCTGAAGTCTTTAGAACGGTACGGGAAGCTTGGATAGCACTTGGTGGAGAGTCATTAAATTGATTCTCTGATTTGAAGGTAGAACCTGTGGACAAGGTTGAAAGAATCGGTATTTCCCTGGTGAGGGAAGCAAGAGGGTACCTAGATAATGGCTTCTGGCCACTTCAAGGCCACTCCATCTCCTCGGGCAGAGGTGGAGAGAAGGAAAGAGGAATGAAGGTTGTTTAGGTGAATCATAAGAGACAGCTGCCTCCCGGGGGTGTGGAATATCAGAAGAATAATAAATGGTAAGAAGGAGTAGGGCTGCCTTTTGAATGCCCTGCCTTCTCTCTTTTCTCCTTCTTCTGGTTTTACTTAAATGATTTCAGGCTTGAAACACCTTTTATTTTAGGAATTTCACATTGCTTTTGGTATTGTCTGAGAGGGTTTGGGTGGCTGGTGATAATCAGTGGGTAGAGGAGTCCAGTCCTTGGGCCAGGAGATGTGAGATCAGCTTTCCTTTGCCCCACGCATCCTTCATGACAGACCAGCCCATTCTGCTCTTTACATAATTGATTTATTCTAGTAGCTATCCACATTTTCAAAACACAGTACTTTCAAATTCATCACAGGAGGTTGCTGTTTTTAAAATAGAAAACCAATCAAAATAATGTTGGATTCTTTTGTAAAGCAAGGAATAATACTTTAAAGCATATAATCATGCTGCTGATTTTTGTTTTGGTTTCTGCTTAGAGTGGACCATATTTGTGCTTCTCATTTCTTAGGGTTTGCCTAGTTCTGACCTGAAGTCTTTAGAACGGTACGGGAAGCTTGGATAGCACTTGGCGGAGAGTCATTAAATTGATTCTCTGATTTGAAGGTAGAACCTGTGGACAAGGTTGAAAGAATCGGTGTTTATTTCCCTGGTGAGGGAAGCAAGAGGGTACCTAGATAATGGCTTCTGGCCACTTCAAGGCCACTCCATCTCCTCAGGCAGAGGTGGAGAGAAGGAAAGAGGAATGAAGGTTGTTTAGGTGGATCATAAGAGACAGCTGCCTCCTGGGGGTGTGGAATCTCAGAAGAATAATAAATGGTAAGAAGGAGTAGGGCTGCCTGTTTGAATGCCCTGCCTTCTCTCTTTTCTCCTTCTTCTGGTTTTACTTAAATGATTTCAGGCTTGAAACACCTTTTATTTTAGGAATTTCACATTGTTTTTGGTATTGTCTGAGAGGGTTTGATAATCAGGGGGTAGAGGAGTCCAGTCCTTGGGCCAGGAGATGTGAGATCAGCTTTCCTTTGCCCCACGCATCCTTCATGACAGACCAGCCCATTCTACCCGCTGTACAAGAGGATGCTACAAACAGGCAACCTATGCAAACAGAAACACCATGTAGCACAACAAAGCACAGTATGAAATGAGCAAGGAAATATACACCGTGTACATGATGTTGAAAATCCATTCTGGAAACAAGGACAGTGTTATCCGTCACTTGAGCCATATTACTCAAGAGAGCTGAGGAGTGTTTTAATTTACTTCACCAAGTTAAAAAAGGCAGAGAAAGAGAGAGAGAGTTGTGCACTGGGCTTTCTTCCCTAAAACCAACCCTGTGAGATAATAAATCAGTTTTAATGGAGCAAAAAACAGTTTCATTAGCATGACATTTCCCCAAGAACTGGTTTCATTGCTTATTTTGCTATTAAAATCATGCTGCTCTTTTGTTTCTAGCACTGCAAATATTAATCTGTATATTAGCCTTCTTTCAATGGAGCAAGGAGTCACAAATTACATAAGAGGTAAGCATGTAATAATATTTTTTAAAGTGGACATTTCACTCCAAGATAGAAAAAGATGGCAGCAACCCACAAGCGATCTCAAATGGCTTTACAAATACCGGTTTCCCAAGAAAACCAGTGAATCTAAAACCAGTAACCTCCTTAACTTTCCAAACAACACCCGATGTTGTTTTTCCTTGATTTTCACAGCGGACACTAGCAGGCAACAGGTAATAAATAAAATAGACCTTTGTAAAATTATAACATTAATTTGCTTTTTTTGCCCATGAGAAATAACGGAGCCACCTACTGTTGGATGCTCTAATATATATTAGACCTCAGAGTTTTTTGATGCCCAAATGTACTACTAAGTTGAAATTACCTGTTGCCTGCTAGTGTCCGCTGTGAAAATCAAGGAAAAACAACATCGGGTGTTGTTTGGAAAGTTAAGGAGGTTACTGGTTTTAGATTCACTGGTTTTCTTGGGAAACCGGTATTTGTAAAGCCATTTGAGATCGCTTGTGGGTTGCTGCCATCTTTTTCTATCTTGGAGTGAAATGTCCACTTTAAAAAATATTATTACATGCTTACCTCTTATGTAATTTGTGACTCCTTGCTCCATTGAAAGAAGGCTAATATACAGATTAATATTTGCAGTGCTAGAAACAAAAGAGCAGCATGATTTTAATAGCAAAATAAGCAATGAAACCAGTTCTTGGGGAAATGTCATGCTAATGAAACTGTTTTTTGCTCCATTAAAACTGATTTATTATCTCACAGGGTTGGTTTTAGGGAAGAAAGCCCAGTGCACAACTCTCTCTCTCTTTCTCTGCCTTTTTTAACTTGGTGAAGTAAATTAAAACACTCCTCAGCTCTCTTGAGTAATATGGCTCAAGTGACGGATAACACTGTCCTTGTTTCCAGAATGGATTTTCAACATCATGTACACGGTGTATATTTCCTTGCTCATTTCATACTGTGCTTTGTTGTGCTACATGGTGTTTCTGTTTGCATAGGTTGCCTGTTTGTAGCATCCTCTTGTACAGCGCAGCAACTATGAAAGGCTCCTGACTCATGGGCCCTGAAAACATTGATGGTTTGCATTCATAATCGTGGCCTAGTGTCACTTTTCAGACATGGCAGTCGTTGGTTAGTTGTGTTCTCTGAAGATGACGCCATTCTTCTCACGCTAACCACTCGTCGAGGCTCTATCGCGTACACGGTCGCAAGGGGTAGTGAAGGAAGCTGCCTCGAGCAGTTATGTTGAGGTTGAGGGATCTTTTTTTTTTTTTTAATCTTGATTTTGCTTTTCCTTTCATACCACCTGCCCCTTGACCTATGCTGTGTTCAGAATTATCAAAATCAAAGAAATGGCCATAAACATTCTTTGGGATTAAATGCCTTTCAAGCACGTTACTTTCAGATGAGTCCCCCTTTTATAATTGTCTGGTGGAAGTGGGTGGAAGCCCAGAGCATGTTTATTTCTTGGGGAGAGGGTCGCCCCCGTTTGCTTTACTTCTCTCTCGAGGTTCAGCATTTTCCTGATCAATGCTTTTCCCTGTTTCTCTTGTCACCTATCCTGTCCTTTGTTGTGCGTTGACTCATGATGCCTCTCTCTCACACTCTGGGATGATGCTCTCTCGTGTTCCCTTGTTACGTGACCCACGGGTCTCTGTGCCCCTCTGTCTCCTGTGGTCTCGGTCGTCCCGTGCCCTCCAGGCTCGCATTGGATGACGCCTTTCGACACAAGCCGCTCAACATGTCATCCCGTTTTTCACCCAGGGTGGCAGGGGAGAATGACTTCCTTCAGACTGTTATAAACAAAGTCATCGCTGCCAAAGAAGTCAACCACAAGGGGCAGGGTACGTATTTTACTTCTTTGTTTCTATCCATGTTTATTTCCGTGAATGTGGGACAGTGCTGTCTGTTTGGCGTTTACTATGATTTTGATAATGATGGTGACGATGACGACCCTGACAGTTTGGAGAGTCCGTGTAATGGTTGTACCCAACGTATAGCTTATGTGGGTTTTGTGGCTGGTCTCTTTTGTAAGTGTTGTTGAGAACCAGCCTCCTGGATGAGAGTGGGAGGCTGAGTGGGATATGGTTATGTGTTTAGAGACGCATGGGGACATTGGACGTGACCCCTCCACGTGTGTGCTTCTCTCTGTTTGTCCTCGCCCGTGTTACGCACCCATTGCTGCCATGTTATTTTTGGGGACCTTCCTCCAGTCCCCCACCTTGAGAATGGCTTCATTTGTGCAGATCAGTTCCCCTTTGGTTCTCACACTCATCGTTTTTAATCCCACACTGACATGTGTCCGAGCAGCCGACAGTTCTGTTGGCGGGAGCCATAAATCAATCAACACGGACTGGTGACAGTTGGCACTCGGCTGCCCAGGAGGGCTGCCAGAACACGGTTACTACGGCCCCGCCTCCCGCCTGAGGGGAGGTCACTTTCTGAACGTCAGGGATCCACGTCTCCATCCTTGATCTGATAGAGACTTCCCATAAACTCAGTAGGGCTTAGGTGGATAGGTCTGTTCCATTGTCCAGTTACCGTATGTCACTAGACTTTTAAAAAGCAGTGATCTTGAGTCACTTATCATTATTCCAAAGGAGAGTATGAATTGAATCTTAAGAATGTTCTGGAAGAATGAGTCTTCCTAGAGCTCTTGCAGGGAACTTCAGGAGCTTTCTTCTTGTGTGAACTACCCCCCTCTCTGGCAAACAATAGCAGAACAAACCCAAACCCGGACTGTTCATGAAATGTGGCCTCTGCAGATAGAGCAATTTTAAGCTGACCCAGGACCCAGCTTCTCATAAATTAACAGTCCTCCTAATTTGCACTTTAATTGAAAACCACAGGGAGGTCCAGTTCAGGCTGTTTACATCGGAGTCCCTCTCAGCTGATCATTCAACCCCGAGCCGGGGCTCCCCTTGGGTCTCCAGTTTCTCTTGCAGTCATCAGGGTTTTGATAAACTTTCATGACAGAGTCATCAGGAATAGTGGGGATTGGTGTCAGGCCACCAGGAAATTACTTGGAAGGAGGACCCAAAGCCTGCCTCTGCCAGTTTCACTGGTGTTGGCCAAAATCTATGGAGCTGGAGAAACACCTAATGCCAAATTCCTTGAACTGCCAGGGAAGGGAGAACATTTTCAGGTCATTGTGAGAACTGGGAGACAGGAACCATGACAGTTTTTTGAAGGGGATCACAGGTGCCTTTTTGAATCAAATTGCACTGTGGCAACATTACAAGCTCAGTTTTACCTTGAACCTGAATATTTCTCCAGGGCTCACTCTTAAGCAGAATTCAGGTTATTCCAGAGAGAGCTGCAAGATGTGGCCCAGTGAGTGCTGTATAGATGTAGCTGCTGGGTTTGCAGGGCTTCGCCCAGTGGAGCTCCTGTGCTTTGATTAGTGGTGACCCAGGCCCACCCCGAGGCTTGCTTGTCCATCAAGCCACAGTGAAACGGTACCTGGAGTGGGAGGGGCAGGCAGGAGGTATTAATCTTCACAAAGAACCTGTGGGCTTTCCCACACTCCGCTGTCCCAAATCCCTGCCTGTCTCTTCTGAGCTCATTCTAGGCTTTGGCCTATTTTAGGTTTACATCAGCATTTTTGCTGGTCACAATCAACAAAATCTTTTATATTTAATCCAAATTACTCTGATCGCTGAACCCAGAGGTGCTGTTCTGTGTGGACAGTCAGCCCTCAGATCCCTGCAGACATCTACTTCCATTGTTTCAGATATAATGTTGTGTTCTAGTTCTTTTTGTTTTTAGTTGTTCTGGTTAAGCAAATGTCAACTCAAAACGGACTTTTTCCTTGGTGAAAATTGGCCTCATTTTTTCCTGTGAGGAAAGCATTTTAAACTCAATGTAATCAGGAAAATTTAATCTCCATGTTTAAATCGTGTTGTAACAAATCTAATTATGTCACTAATATACCAGTTTATGAACTAAGATATTTGAGCAAACTGGTATTTGTGAGAAAGAAAAGGTATTGGAAAGGCAGATATCTAATAGCGTTATTTAATGCTCCATCCTTATGTCTTTGACCTTTATGAGTAATTTCCTCACCACATCCTGCAGTTCTTCCAAGAGTGTCCTCCTGTTAGGTTTATTCTGAGATGTTCGTTCTCCTGGGCAGCTTCAGGACTCACACCCCTAAAATTTGAGAAACTGCATCCTGGTGTTCCAGTAGGCACCAGCTACTATCCTGTTAGGTTTATTCTGAGATGTTCGTTCTCCTGGGCAGCTTCAGGACTCACACCCCTAAGATTTGAGAAACTGCATCCTGGTGTTCCAGTAGGCACCAGTTACTGTGATAAGTCCCCGTGTACTCCTGTGTCTTCTTGACTTTAGGATGAGGAAGGGTCCTTGCAGCCTCCCAAGCTACCTATCACCCCCTCCCCACTGTGTCTTGGGGCTTCAGCCGCCCTGGGGTGGGCACATGCCTGGAATCCCCTCACTTCCTGCAGATCTCAGTCAGTCTTGAAATCCCTTCCTCAGAGGAGCCTCCAGGATCCCCTAAAGTGCAGTCTTGGGGATGCCCTCTCAGCGAGCTTGGGACTTTTCCTGGGAGAGCTCTCTGCAGTTGCGTATTTCTCTGAGTATCTGACCCTTACAGTGGAAGCTAAGTCCTATGTGGGCAGTGCCCAGTGTGTGCCTGGCACAGAGTAGGTGCTTACTAGATACTTTTCCATAAATAAAGGTCTCCCTAGGTGGCGAGAGGAAAGGGGCTGTCACCAGCTGGCAAAGAACAAACATCATCGGTGACTTGACTTTCTCAGTCACAAGTAATGTAAGTCTCTGCAAAGGAGAAAGATGTTTCCAGGACAGCTGCTATGGGATTAGGTAACTGGAGGACAGGTCGTGCAGTGTAGGGTTAAATCAAGTAGAGCCGCCCCTGGCAGGAGTGACCTAATTGGTGTTCCTTGTGTGGATACATCAGACATCATCCAAGGGCTGCGTGCAAGGCAAGCCACTTGGGGACAAGGTCTGTGGTTTTCGCATTTTTCTCCTGTTGAGTGCAAAGTGTTGGGTTCACCAGTGATGTGTGATTGGCCTCTGCTATTTGGAAGCATCAAGAGAGGGAACAACTACACAGACAGACACAGAGACACATGTACACGTGCACACACACACACACACACACACACAGACATGCAGACACACGCACACTCCCCGTAGACACAGAGACACAGATACACACACAGATGCACACACCCCCACCGATACACACAGACACACAGATATGTACGCACCCCCACAGACACACACACATGCAGACAAATGTAGACAAACACAGACACAGACCCAAACAGATACACACAGACACATGCATAGACGTACAGAGACACATGAACACACACTAGTGTGTGGATGCTAGTGTGAGGACAGACACTTTGACATTCTAATGGACAGATGGGGTCCACAGAGCTGAGTGGTGGGGGAGCAAGTAGGCCAGTCCCCAAGGCCTCAGGAACGATGTGCCAGCCCACGGTGGCAGCCCCTTCCCACCTGGGAGGAGGTCACTATCCTTGAAAGCAGCTGATGGAGCCGAGTGACTGCTTCACCCCCTGCTTTTGACTAGTTGAGAGTGTCTGATTTATTCCCTGTCATTGTCACCCGGTTGACTGGTTGACCGCTGCTCCAGAGCTTTTGCACGTGGGAGGAGGTCACTATCCTTGAAAGCAGCTGATGGAGCCGAGTGACTGCTTCACCCCCTGCCTTTGACTAGTTGAGAGTGTCTGATTTATTCCCTGTCATTGTCACCCGGTTGACTGGTTGACCACTGCTCCAGAGCTTTTGCACAGAGGCCGGCCCTCCGGTTCTCCTTTGGTGTGGCTGGGGCAAGCAGGGCACACACCCACACACGCCATGCTCTCCCCAGGGCACCCTTGGGGTCTTGGTTCCAAGGTTTCAAAAGTCTTCTTTTTCCCCCTGGGAGAAAAGAGCTGAGTGACATCTGGAACATCCTTTCCTCCTTTGCTGTGCTTTGTGAAATGGAGGGAGAGGCCTGCTTGGGCTGTGGTGGCCTGGCTGTGGGGGGCTGGCCCGCTGTTGTCCCCGTGGCCCTGTGGCCTTGCACGGTGCTGCTCATCTGGGGAGCGTGGTGCTGCTCTGCATGTCGAGGCTTTCGTGGGTTCCTGCAGCTGTGCATTCACCTCCTGAGTCCTCCCGGCTGTCGTTCTTCCCAGCAGACTGGAAAATGACAGCTTTCTCAGTCCACTCCCAGAAAAATGCTACCTTCTGATTTATCTTAAATGTATGTCAACTCGAAAGCGTCAGTGGTCCTTGGCAGACTGACTAGCAGGAGCACGTGGCTGTTCCTGTGCATTAGTCCCTGTCCATGAGTCACTCCAGGGCAGGATCCATATCCCTGCTGATCAGAAGTGGCCAGTTCTCCTGTGCCCAGCCCTTCTGCCCAGCCCTTCTCCTTCTCATACACCCACATTTGCTCTCAAGATGCTAAACTGTGAATTAAAAATTGCTCATTTATTGAAATTGGTTTCGTGAAAACTTTTTCTAAAAATGTGTAAAATAAAACATGACTGAGAACATCCATTGTGTTTCTAGGTTTGTGGGTAACATTGAAATTACTTCCTGGAGATATTCATCAGATTCGAAAAGAGTTTCCTCATTTAGTGGACAGGACCACAGCAGTGGCTCGCAAAACAGGATTTCCAGAGATCATCATGCCTGGTAAGAGGTGGATCATTCAGGGCTTCTGAGCATGGCGTGGATGTAGCCAGCCACAGAGTGACCGGGTATGTGGGCAGTAACATGCACGAGCTCTGGCAAGGACAGGGCTGAGCTAGGGCAGGTGATGTGTAAGCCCCAGCTGGGTATGGGTCACCCTGGGAGTCAGGGGCTGCAGCCTGAGTGCTGGAATATGCACATTGGCCACCTGGATCCCAGGATGGGGTCAGCTCCCCCCAACTGCAAGGGTTATATGAGGGAGGCATGGACACCCAACAGATGTCTGGGTAGACATCCGATCAGAGGAAGGAACGGTGGTTAGAAAGTCAGCTGCCCAACATGCAAACCATCTCAGGATGAGTGGAAGAGTTAGACGATGTTTGTTAATGCCACACCTGTACCTGCTCAGTTAGTATCAGTTGTCGTACTAGTATTGCTCCAGCCCAACATGGGTTTAAGCTGACTGAAGTGATAATGGCATTCCATGCTAACATTAATCTTTTGTATTTACAGAATACTTTTCGGTTTCCAAATAACATTTATATTAATAATCTGATTTGATCCTCAGGGGATCTTGGGGAGCATGTTAATATTTATCTTTTGTATCTCTGTGATACTTTTTGGTTTGCAGGTAATGCTCACATTAATAATCTAACTTTATCCACATAAGGATCTTGGAAGCCTGCAAATTGGTGTTGAACTAATTCCCATCAAGATTAAACAACAGCCTAAAGTCACACAGCTAATGAGTAGTGGAAATGGGGACAATCCACCCCAAGTCTGACAACTCCGTGCAGCCTCTTTTTATAGGCCTGTGCTGTATACTTGCAGAGAGCGGTGGCTACTCAATGTACATGCTCTAAGAGTTAAAGTTTTGCTTATTTTAGTTCAACCTTGAGTCATGTTCTTTCTACTCCCTTTGTCTTTTAGGGCTGTTGTGGGTTATTGAATACTCTGTCTTATTAATCCATGTGAAAGACATCTAAAATTAGTTAAACTTAATAATAGTTAGGCTCACTTGTACAGGAGAAAGTGTGATATTTAACACATTATGAAGCTATGGAATAGCTGTTACTTGTATGTGTCAAGTCTATATGCAGCAAATTAATTTAGTCTTCTTAATGGAAATGGATAATTTTTGTACATATTGTTTGCATTCGGATTCAAGATGTGCATTTATATATTGGGATGAAGTCATTGACAACATGTGCGTATCTCAGTGACCTTAGGGTGTCCTCATGCTCAAAGGGAAACCCAGGAAACTTCCATTTCATGCCAATAGTGTTTCTCTTATAATTGATAGACTTAAAAAGTAAGTCTAACCTCTTAGTTTATCTCATGATTGATTCATGGGGAAACATACAGCTGACCATTGTTCTGGTAGGTTCCATGTGCTAAGTCCCAGGTCAGGGGTCCCCTAGGGAGGGATTCTAGCTTGAGGGGTCACCACGTTCTCTGCTGGCTGAGTAGTGACTGACTGGGCTGTAGGCACTGGAGAGACAGCACGGGTGGTTTTCAGTGAGACTCCCTGCCTTTTGCCCAGCAGAACCTGTGCAGACCTGTCTTGTCAGTTGTCTTAAGGAGACAGTGGGGAGCCTGTCATGTTGTCCTTGCTTCTGGATCCTCCACCTTCTCTGGATCCACTGGAATCCTGGACTCCTCCTGAAAGGTCCAGGCAGAGGAAGCAGAGTTTTCCTTCAAGCCGGGAAGGTGGCTAGAGCCCATCTGTATCTATTTCCAGTTCCTTCCTCCCCAGAATGGGAACCCCATAGCTGGGGAAGCAGTTGCTGAGGTCCCTTTGAGAATGCTCACCTATGGGGTTTACCTACTCCCAGTGAAGTCTTGCTTCTGGATGGCCCTGGAGTACTGAACTCCAGGTGAACATGGGCGCAAGGCTGTGGGGGTGTCACGTCACTACCTGGCACATGTCAGTTCTCCAGCTGGTGATACCCTTAGGAAGCTCTTTCAGTCCTTCTTGATTATGGTTTTTGTGCCTTGGCAGAGTTTTCAGGTGAGAGGTCAGTGTAGGCTGGAGGTTAAGTGACTTGTCCGAGGTCACACAGGTTGTTGCTGTCAGGTGTGGGATGGGCAGCCTTGCCTTCTGCCCTGGCGACGCTCCATCATTCCAACGTCCCTCGTGGTCAGTGTCAGCGGCTGTGACCAGGCTTCCTTTCCTAGCAGCTGCTGGGGCTGCAGAGTAACCCACTGGGTTGGTTATAATAATGACTTTTAAATGAAAGCTTAATTTAATAGTTGGATATACTAAAAGCCAAGATGGAGCAGTAGAGAACAAACACACAGAACCCAGGAAAGCAAAGGGAGGGTTTGTTTTTCCCTCAAGGAGTCCTTGTCATTTAGCTAGAGTGGGTTGTTTTCCACTCTTGACGTCCTTGCTCCTCTCTCCTGTGGGAGATGGTGTCAGGCGTGGGAGGTGGCCAGACAGACGCAGAGGAGCAAGCCCTGGGGTGGTGACGCTTCCTCTAAATCATGTTGCCAACGAAGCTTGCAAAGTTTTCCCAGTCGGACCATTATCAGGAGTTTCCTGTATTCTTAGTAGGAAGAAGAGTCATGAGCACATTTCTTTTATTTTTCTTCCCCCTACAATTAAAGGCCCGTCTCACTTGGAAATGTGCCGGTCTGTTTGCTGCTTCTTCTGTCTGTGGTCCCTGTTTGGAATCCTGACAGCTGCCTGCCAGAGGAGAAGAGCCATGCAGAAAGTCTCTCTCTAGACCTGTCCCTTGTTCCTGATCCTTCGCTTCTGGTTCTAATTCTTAACCAGCTTTTAGTTCGACATCTGGAATCATGCTTTTTAGAAGATGCACAGGAGGCCAGCATTGCCAGTTATTATCCTGTGTGTGCCAGCTGTGTTGTGACATTCCTTGGCAATTGAGGACTTGGACGACCACAGCCGGCCATCTAACAAGGGATGATGATGTGGGTTGTGATGGCCATGGCCCTGGAGAGGGCATGGCTCCTTGCAAACCCATCGACAGCATTAGAGCCGCTCTGGGCATCGGCTGCTCACAGCAGCATAGAGGGTCCTCTGCCCAGATGAAGAAATAACCAGATAATTAGAGGCTTAGACATTTTCCCTTTTTCCAGAAAGTCTTATAATGATGATTATGCAAATAGCTTTTGTAATGCCTTTAAATGCTGAAACTGTTTTGTAGAAAATATATCCTAGTCATCCTCATACAGGATTTATAGTATTGTGCTAGGATGGGTATCACCTTAGATAGCGATGATTATGCAAATAGCTTTTGTAATGCCTTTAAATGCTGAAACTGTTTTGTAGAAAATATTTCCTAGTCATCCTCATACAGGATTTATAGTATTGTGCTAGGATGGGTATCACCTTAGATAGCGTTGCAAAATTCATGGCTAGGTCATGAATAAGGGGTTGGTTTTAAAGGTGTGACTTTTACCCCCAGGTGATGTTCGAAATGATATCTACGTAACATTGGTTCAAGGAGATTTTGATAAAGGCAGTAAAACTACAGCGAAGAACGTCGAGGTCACTGTGTCTGTTTATGATGAAGATGGGAAGCGACTGGAGGTATTTATTGTGTATAAGTTGTACTTTCCAGGAGTTTCCCTGGCTATGCTGAACAATAGGACCAGTCCTAGGTGGGGCCGTACCCCTGTCTGTCAGGATGAGTGTCTTCTCTTGCTTCGTGTTTTCCAGCTTGCCTTCCAGGGCCTGGTGTCTACGGGGTCCTGGTATTAGCCTGTCTCAGGGGATCCCTGTGGCCTTGACCATCTTCTTTGCCCAATCCTATTGCAGTCTCATTTGCCAGCATAAACCCAAGGCCCCAAGGTCTGGCAAGCACACTAGAAGTACAGATGCCATTATTATCACCCTTTGAGAGATGAGGAAACTGAGGCCTGAGAAATCAGTCAGTTGCGCAGGGTCCGAGAGCTAGGATAGGTGAAACTGGGGCCTGAAGCTGGGCGTCTAACATCTACAGCCCAGTCTCTGACCTTGTGCTCTACCAGCTGGTAACCAATACCTTCTGCTTCCATGGTCACGTGGCCTGCAGGGCCTACCCCTGGAGGACCTGGTGGTCCAGGAGGTGCTCAAAGGCTGTGACCTCTTCTGATGACCAGAGGCCAAACCAGAACAGGTGTCCTGCAAGGTGCTTCTTTGGACTGAGGCTAGAGGGCTGGGTTCTTCTGGGCCCACATGGTCAAGGGCAGTGCCCTGGGCTTGTGCCTGAGGCTCAGCTGTGCCGAGAGGGGGTGGCACCCTTTCTCTCGTTGAGGGTCACTGCCTGCTTGTCTCTGGGATCAGGTGGTGCTGCCTTAGCTCTTGAACATTACCAGCATGTCTCCCGTTGGAGACAGGTGGGCAGTGTTCATGGCTTGCTACCTCCGTTTTGGTGTGCAGCCCTTCATGCTAGACCTACTGAACAAGTCAGGCCACTGCCTGTGGATCCTAATGTTAAAGTTGTTAGGGATGAGGGTAGGAGGGGTGGAGGACAGATTGATCCTCATGTCTTGTAACCATCCAGACCTTAAATGTCTGAGAACAGGGCTTTCGTCTGGCCACTACCTTCAGACGGATCTGTCCATCTTGGTGTGCAGCCCTTCATGCTAGACCTACTGAACAAGTCAGGCCACTGCCTGTGGATCCTAACGTTAAAGTTGTTAGGGATGAGGGTACGAGGGGTGGAGGACAGATTGATCCTCATGTCTTGTAACCATCCAGACCTTAAAAGTCTGAGAACAGGGCTTTAGTCTGGCCACTACCTTCAGACGGATCTGTCCATCCCTTGCTGGGAAAACATTTCATTTGCCATGGGGTTTATCCGTGTTCCTGGACTGCTCTCCCTCCCCTTCTGAGCATATATAGTGGGAGACGTATGCCATGTCAAGCTCTATGAGATCTTATGTGAACTCTTTATGCTTTCTTTTAAAGCATGTGATTTTCCCGGGTGCTGGTGATGAAGCGATTTCGGAGTACAAATCTGTGATTTACTATCAAGTAAAGCAGCCGCGCTGGTTTGAGACCGTTAAGGTATTATTTACATGGTGATCTTATCACAGGGGGTTGATTGTGAGATGCTCATTTGGTGATATTGCTGTCCGGCCGGGGGTGTTTCTTATTCAGGGCACACCGTTGCTGTTGGAAGAGGCAGAGGCTCCTCTGCACAAATCCTGTGTTTAAAAATTGCATCCCCCAAATGTGACTGGATCACAGCTGTGCGGAGTGACTTTAAACTCTCTTGCAACTGAGCTTGAAAATCCAATTTTTTCCTCTTAACTGCCTGATATGGATTTTGGTTATTAATGTCTGTTGCTGTCATGAATTGGGTCTCTGGGGGTTGTCTGTAGTCAAGGCAGTAGTCTTGGATTTGCCCAAGGGACAGTCAACATTTTGAACTTGAACAGGATAAACATATCGTATAACTTCGTATAATGTATGCTATACGAAGTTATTACGTTAGATGTGAGAAATAGGTACAGTCTTGGCTTACGGGCAACGTGTATTAGGTCTTTTTTTCTTTCACTGTAATGTGACAACAAGAAAGGTTTCTTGCTGCAGTTGCGGGCAGGTCACTGCAACTGCAGAGGGAATATAGACACCTCCTTGATGGGGCTAAAAACAAAAAGGCAACTTTGAAAAATAGAATCATAACAGTAAGGATCAGAACATTTAGAAAAAATCCAGCTGTCTCTCAGAATCATCTTGGCATCCTTTATAATATTATTTTGTTTAAATTTTCAAAATGCATTTTGCCTTTAGAAAATTATATAGGGGTTTAAATATACAGTACTTTCACCATTGTGGTGCAGAAACTCTTCTACTTGTGCCTGGTGTGTCCAGTTGAATAAAGCTGTTAATGCTAGAAGATGTTGGTAAAGGTGCTTAAATCCCCTTTTCAATTCTTAAGGTGGCCATTCCCATTGAGGATGCTAACCGCAGTCACCTTCGATTTACCTTCCGCCATAGATCATCACAGGACTGTGAGTAATAAACACTTTATTATCTCATGGCTTCTTCAAGGGGAAACTAGGGGAAAAGCTCAGTAGGCCACACTTGTTTTTTCTAGATTGCTCTAGAACTTCCATAGATCATCACAGGACTGTGAGTAATAAACACTTTATTATCTCATGGCTTCTTCAAGGGAAAACTAGGGGAAAAGCTCAGTAGGCCACACTTGTTTTTTCTAGATTGCTCTAGAACTTGGTTATTGTAATGCAGGGAGGTCTCAACACTTCAGCTCATTTTCCACTTTAACTGATTCCTGGGAAATGTTTTCATTGAGCAGATCTCAGGAGAACTTAATTTTCTTCTCCAGTTCCTGTAATAACTGCTACTCCCTGTTTTTTTTTTGGTTTTCTGTCTTCGGTTGAACTTGTAATATTATTCCATTCATCAGAAAAGTCACTGAGATATAATAAATGATTCTCAAAAAGGGGCTCTCAGTGCTCTTTGTCCTGCAATTGAAAACCTGAAAACTTTTTGTCTTTCCCAGTGGCCCCTGGTGTCTGGGGCTCGGGCAGAGCATTTCCCATAGACACTGATGCGATATTGACCATGATGCCAGGACTCGGGAGGAAAGCTCTGATGTTCAAGCCACTCACCTGCAAAACGGAAGTGGGGGGAGCAGCGGCCTGAAGGCCGGCTAGGAGGATGGGGCCTGAGCATCCCATACTTGCCTGAAGGGGGTCTGCTGATTGTACATGGCACGCTTCATGGCTGAAACAATAGGATAGTAATTATTAGTAATTGTTAGCTTACATTCAGTGTGCTCTCACTATGTGCCTGACACAGGGATTTTGCTGTATTATTTGGGTTAGTCCTCACAAGAATCCCATGTGCCACCAATACTATTGTCGTTACTTCCCTTGTTACAGATAAGGAAACTGGGTCTTAGACACTCAAGTCAGTGGCCCAAAGTCACCCAGACAGGCAGTGGAAGAGTTTTGGTTCAAACCCAGTCTGTGTGTCTGAGCATTATACTCCAGTACCTTAGGGGAGTGGTGAGGCCACTTTGTCACCTGGTCTTTGCTTATCACCTGCTGTATACACAGCAAGCTGCTGGGGTTTCTCCTCTTGAAGAACTTAGGTTTGAGCTGACTTGTGAGGTTTGTTTGCAAGAACCTACTAGGGCATGGCAGCTGGGGAACACCACATGAATTAGGTAGAGGCGCGGCATGAGCAGAATGGGGTTGGGTGAATGGGGGAGGCTTGAGGCACAGGTGTGGCCTCAGCCAAGGCATGGTTAGTGTGGTGGACTCGGTGCCCTGCATGAGTGATGCACAGGGCGTGGAGTGGACCAGAGCATGGATGCAGTGGGCCCAGACCCTCTCAGTTGGTAAGCCCTGCTGGAGGGCAGTCCAGGGCTCCTGTAAACACATCACCCTGGGGACATCAGGAGAGTGGGGGACTCTGAGGGCCGAAGGAGGAAGCAGGGCAGGACAGAAGTCTAGAGTCCACAAAAGACTTATCTCAAAATCATGCTCTTCCTTTTTAACAAGCTCATCCTTTCTAATTAATAAATTACTAGGGCAGAGGGATATCTTCTGTAGCATTTTAATTTTCAAAATCCTTGTTTTTCTTGTTAGTTTTAAGTACTCATTATAGACAAGATGCAATCACCTGACATACCAAGAATCATTTGCATAATTAATGAAGTCTCCACTGCCACAGCTTGTGGGGTTTTGCAGACATGTTGTGCATCATAAGTGTGCTGCTGATGACATCCTGGGATGTCAGCTGCTGGAGTGATGGTGGCCGTCTGGGCCTTTCCTCTGGGCCTGTGTGCAGAGACCCTGGGGCAGAAACAGGTGGAAAGAACTGAGGCCGTATTGGCCACCCTAGTCAAATAGGGCTGCTTTCCACTGTAAAAGGGAGTTGAACAAAGGAACAAGTGGTGGGATTTCTCACACCCAGATCTGTCATTGGGACTGGAGGGTTTGGTGCTGATGTGCTGATAGATGCCTTCCCGACACATGTTAGCAATTCCAGATGCATCGGATCATGTTTTGCATGAGTTCAAGCATGTGTGGTCCCCGGGTTCAGTTTCCCAGGAGCTGAGTTTGCCTTGATTGTGGTGGGCTTACCTGGGTGGGTCCAGGGATGGGCAGCCCTGCCCAGTGTCCAGAACTCATGTCCTCCTCCTGTGGTCCCTAAGGTTCTATACACGTGTAATAGAACCATCCACCTCATTATGGCTGCTCATGAGCATATAGTGAAACTCAGTCCCTTCCTTGGATATGAAGATGGAAAATGTTAATGGAAAGTGCACTTGTCGTATGCCACCTCACAGAGGATCTGTTGAAGCCTCCGCTGACATCACTGTCACACGTCTTTCCCTGCCACAGCAGCTCTCAGGGAGGCATGTTTTTATTTTTTCAAGTCAGCCCAAACTTAAGAGGAATTGTTCTTTGCCACTTGAACATTAAAATACTTTGTGTTCAGTGCCCTTTTACAAAGTTATTTTTTAGACTCCTAGGGTACAGGTATTTTATTCTGTTCCTCCCTTTATTTTTGGTTGTTCGGTCATTCATTCAGTTGTTGAATTTGCCAGCATTTACTGAGCACTGACAATGTGCGAGAAACTGATGGATACCCCAGGAATGCAAAGGTTAATGGGACATCTTATTTCGTGTGGTGGCGTCTTAGGTTAAATATTTCGAGCCCCTTACTCAGGGACGGTGGATGTGTGGTCTTTCCCTCTCTACCTCTGTCCTTTCATCTCTGAAAAGAGAATTTTGGGTATGTAATTCTAAAGGTATTTTCTAGCTCTGGAACTCAGTATTCTACGCTGCACTCAGACTGCAGATTCATGGCGCGAGAAACTGATGGATACCCCAGGAATGCAAAGGTTAATGGGACATCTTATTTCGTGTGGTGGCGTCTTAGGTTAAATATTTCGAGCCCCTTACTCAGGGACGGTGGATGTGTGGTCTTTCCCTCTCTACCTCTGTCCTTTCATCTCTGAAAAGAGAATTTTGGGTATGTAATTCTAAAGGTATTTTCTAGCTCTGGAACTCAGTATTCTACGCTGCACTCAGACTGCAGATTCATGGCGACGCGCTTCCTGCCCGCTCCTGCCTGGCCCGCTCCTGCCTGGCCCGCTCCTGCCTGGCCCGCTCCTGCCTGGCCCGCTCCCGCCTGGCCCGCTCCCGCCTCCTTTGGCTCTCACTGTTCACCCTGCACCAGCCGCGCTGGCCTCTGTCCCCATGTGAGCCACACCTGTTCCACTTGCGGGCCTCTGCATCGGGCTCTGTTTCTGGAATGTTTTCGTCTTGGCTCATGTGCTGTCCGTCTTCTCAGACCTCTCCTGACCATGCATTCAGATTGTCCCTATTCTCACTGTGTCACCCTTTAACAAAAACCACCACGTTTTGTTTTCTTTATTATCTGAAATAATTTATTTGTTTGTTAGTCATTTCCTAAGGTATATCAAATATTTATAGCATACCTATTGTATGCCAGGTACTATTTTATGCCCTGGGAAATAGCAGTAAAAAAATACACAATGTCCCTTACATTCCAGACTCCAGTGGACAAAACCAATAGTAAACAGCAACAAATTCTCTCTCTCTCTCTCTCTCTCTCTCTCTCTCTCACACACACACACACACACACACACACACACACACATCTGGTGGTGATAAGGACTATGAAGAAAAATAAAATTTCAGCTGAAACTTGAATGAAATGAGGGAGTAGGCCCTCGTGCAGTTACCTGGGGATGAACTTTCTTGCCCAAGGGAACAAATTCACACTCACACTTCAGTCACCAGTGAGTGACATGAGTAGGTGTTGGGAGGCAGCAATCCAGCTTACTGATGAGCGCCTTTCTTAGTGGAATGGTCTGCCGCCTCCTTGCCTCTGCCACTTGCCATGGCCTTGTGTTTCCAGGCCCTGTCTGTCCTGCTGGTCTGTGTTTTCCTGTTTTAAAGCCCCACTGTCTTCAGAGTTTCCACGTTACCGTCACTCTTGGATTCTAGTATTGCAGACTTTCCTACACATTCTCCTTCAAAATCATCCTGCTCTTCTTGGCCCTTTATTCCAGAATCAGTTTCCAAGGTCCATGAAAAATTTCTTTCTCCCATGAGATTTTAATTGGAACGGCTTTGAATTTACATTCATTTGAGGACAACTGATCCCTTTGTGACAGGAATCTTCCTACTGGTGAACATGGTGCATTTAGCATCTGTCAATACCATTTTGTCATTGTTTTTGTAAAGGTAGCCTTTGTAGCATTTTACAGTGTAATTTTGACATGACCATAGTTGAAGATAATTACTGATTTTTATTGCAGCTAAGGATAAATCTGAGAAAATATTTGCACTAGCGTTTGTAAAGCTAATGAGATACGATGGGACCACTCTGAGAGACGGGGAGCATGACCTCATCGTCTACAAGGTGTGTGTTTCATTGATGCGGTATCGCTGGCATGATTCTTGCAGTCTTTCCTGGGCTTCCTGACCTGAGCTGACATTTCCCATCATTATGAGAGAGCTACCTAGCTACACTGAACCATGCAAATGAACGTTTTTAATGACCAGCCCTTTGCTGTTTCTGGTGAGACAAGATGATATACAATAACACATTAGGTGCTGTATAAAAATGCCCTGAATGTGAATTAATATACGTGAATAAGGGAAATTATTAACATGCATAGTTTAAAACAATGTAAAAATGAGATGTCATGATTGTTAAAAGGATTAAGGATAATGAAGGATGGGAAAAATTGTGTCACTGTGAATAGTGTTTGATAAATTGCGTGACAAAACCCGCAGGCCGAAGCAAAGAAGCTGGAAGATGCTGCAACGTACCTGAGTCTGCCCTCCACAAAGGCAGAGTTGGAAGAAAAGGGCCACTCAGCAACGGGCAGGAGCATGCAGAGTCTTGGGAGCTGTACCATCAGCAAAGATTCCTTCCAGATCTCCACGCTCGTGTGCTCCACCAAACTGACCCAGAATGGTGAGTTTGGGAACAGAGATGTGTTCACCCCAGGGACTGTTCTTTCTCCACTGCATCTTTTTCATGTCCTTGTTGAGCGGAGGAGTCTTCTGTGGGTGCGTGGACACTGCCTGTAAGAACTTCACTGCATCCTCAGCAATGACCTGTGTGGTGTGGATGCACTAGGAAAGAGGAGGGGGCATTGATCATAATTTAAAATTCACACTCCTATTTTGTTCTAAGGATTCACTTTAAAGGGAGATAAAGCAATGAATATACTCCTTAAAATGCTTTTTGGCCACAGGAAGGTAGCACGGCATAGGCAAAATGCAGGAGATCTGTAGTCAGACCAAAGACCTGGGACTGAACCCTAGCCCTGTGCCTGTGTTCACCCTGGGAATGACCTTGGACACAGGTCCTCCACACCTTTCTAAACCTTATTTTCCTTGTCTGTAGACATGGGAATAATGCTTGCCTCAAGGGCTACTAGGTGGAGGTTACATGGACTGTGGACTTCCCCTTTCCCAGCTACTCACTGAGATGTGATTACTAGTTATCTTTGTTTAAAAACTTGGTTTGGGTGATATTTTCTAGTCCCCTCGAGGTATGAGACAAGACACCTCTTGCTGATGCACATACACTAAAGCTCAGCCTTAATGCAGAGATCAGTCATCAGCTGGCCCTAGTGTCCCTGTGCTGGGGCCTGCCGTGCTGCTCTGAGTTCCCTTACCACCACTTGCAGCCTCCCCAGATGCACATACACTAAAGCTCAGCCTTAATGCAGAGATCAGTCATCAGCTGGCCCTAGTGTCTCTGTGCTGGGGCCTGCCGTGCTGCTCTGAGTTCCCTTACCACCACTTGCAGCCTCCCCGGTGATATTGCTGTCCGGCCGGGGGTGTTTCTTATTCAGGGCACACCGTTGCTGTTGGAAGAGGCAGAGGCTCCTCTGCACAAATCCTGTGTTTAAAAATTGCATCCCCCAAATGTGACTGGATCACAGCTGTGCGGAGTGACTTTAAACTCTCTTGCAACTGAGCTTGAAAATCCAATTTTTTCCTCTTAACTGCCTGATATGGATTTTGGTTATTAATGTCTGTTGCTGTCATGAATTGGGTCTCTGGGGGTTGTCTGTAGTCAAGGCAGTAGTCTTGGATTTGCCCAAGGGACAGTCAACATTTTGAACTTGAACAGGATAAACATAGGACAGAAGTAAACCCATTATTTGGAAGCCACGCCATTGTAGTGGAAAATGTGCTAGGTGTCCTGAGTGTTTGGGTGTGCCACCCCTGTGCCGCGTGCTTTTAAAACTTTCTGCACCTGTGCTTGCTGCTCATTTGTACTAGACTGTACAAGCTGTGCCTTCCCACTGCTGGTCTCATGAGTGATTGCTTAGTGTGGGGGGCACACGAACAACGCTGCTTTAAGTCAGTCAAATGCTGCTTTAAGGCTATTTGGATATGTTTGGAGACAGACACATTAAGGCCATATGGATACATTTGGATATAGACACTTTAAGGCCATTTGGATACCTTTGGTTATAAAAGCTTTTTGGCCACTGGGATACATTTCTCTAATGTTACCTTGATCATCATGTTTTGCCTGAAGCATATATGAAGGTTCCCAGTTTGTGGTTGTGTGGTAATCTCCACGAGCAGGTGAAAAGCCTTGACTGAGGGATTGGATCTGTGCAAGCCTGGGGGGTGGGGTGGAGAATGCACAGGGAGTTGTAAGTTTAGTGCCCAGAGAACTTGGGGTCAGCAGGTGAACCCCAGCTTGAAGCTGGGTTATGGAAAGGATGTCCCATGTGACAAATGTTACTCTTTGGATGTGGCCCTCGTAGTCCTGCTTGCCTGACAGCCTACAGCATCCAGGGCCCACGTAACCCAGGGCAAAAGTGACATCTCTGGGTGGGTCGCCACCCCATACGTTTGTCATTTAGCTTTTTGGTAGGTGCCACATGAATGAGAACTGCTGTGTATTGCTATTTTCACATTGTAGGAAGCCACCATCTCTTACATGGGCCATGTTTCAAAAACATGTCTGAAAGGTATTATTTGGAACTTGAACATATTTTCCCCTTCAAAACAATGTTCTGAGTAGTAGTTAGGTTTTGAGACCCGTCCACTTCAGAACTTAAGGATTCCAAAGAATCCTTCTTAACCCACACATCCCTGGGGAAGAGGACTGTGAACCAGGCAGTCTCCCAGGAGGTTGGTGTCCATCCTCCTTTCACCTTCAAGCTCCTTGAGTCTCACCAGCCGCAGGTGACTCCCTCCCTGGAACTGAGGGAGAGGGCACCCTGGTCTCCGCAGCAGCTGTTGCCGGGCAACAAGGAATTCCAGTGTGAGGCTGCTCACCAGGAGGAAGGGGAAATCTTTTGGATTTCATTGTATATCAGCAATGATTCCTCTTTTGGAATGATGGCATTCAGATGTGTACAACTTGGAGCTAGCCCAGTTGGCATCTAAGCATCAACTCCCAGATTCTCATGTGAGGGTGTCACTTTTCTGTAGCCATGATCTGTTACTGTGAAGTTCCATTACTTAGGGAGAAGCAGTTGCTGAATTATTCATCAAGGTTTGTATTAAACATCTCTGTCTTCAGCATTATGCTGCATGCTATGGGGGATATAGAAAGAAGTATAAGATACGATTCCTCTCCTGAATTAATTTACTATATGATGAGGGAGAAATGAGTCATGCAACAAAGAATAATTGGGGACCAAATTGCAGTGAGTCCCTGGAATAAAGGAGTAGAGAGGAGAGCCTCGTCTGACATGGGCGGCTTCAAGGGGGCCAGGCAAGCTCTGTTTCCTTCATACCTGTTCCCCTTCCTCCAAGTTGTTCTTCCGCTTCTAATTTGCCTAGTTGTACCTTTTCTCAAATTTATGATACAGAGGTAAATCCTAGTCTGAATCATATTCAGTGTGCCACCAACTTTGAATGAATGGGATCTAGATTATTAATTAATCTCTAGTAAAGAATCACTGGAAACTTTTGTGAGGTGGAAATCTCCCTTAACTCTGAGACCAAGAGTGTGTCCAGGCAGGATGTAGTGTTTCTCATTATTTCACTTTCGATTAGAAATTGAAACATGTTAGGGCCGGCCTGTGGCTCACTTGGGAGAGTGTGGTGCTGATAAGACCAAGGCCACGGGTTCGGATCCCATATAGGGATGGCCAGTTAGCTCTCATGGGAGGACGTGGTACTGACAACACCAAGTCAAGGGTTAAGATCCCCTTACCAGTCATCTTTAAAAAAAGAAAAAAAAAAAGAAATTGAAACATGTTAACTTCCACAATGAGTGGGTTACTTTCTCAATTCCAGATCACCTCTTTGAATGACTGCTGCTGTTAGTACTTTGTGCTGGGCATCGTGCTCAGTGCTTTCTCTATGTCATGTCATTTGATTCTTGCAGTATTCCTGTGAATTAGGCAGCATTGTACCCATTGTTCAGATGAGAAAACTGAGGTGAAGTTACCTGCCCAAGGTGATATAGTTGCTGAGTTACCCCCCCCTGGAATTTAACCGACTTTTCACATATCCCACAATATCTTTGGGTGGTGCCCCCTTCACATTTTCCCATTTTCAGCTCTTTGTCAGCTATCCTTGGGAGTAAGGTCAAATTAATGAAAACGTATGTTTTGACACTCATTACATGTTTGCCTTTTGTGTGGCTTGATCTTGAAATTATGAATCTCTAGTAAAGAATCACTGGAAACTTTTGTGAGGTGGAAATCTCCCTTAACTCTGAGACCAAGAGTGTGTCCAGGCAGGATGTAGTGTTTCTCATTATTTCACTTTCGATTAGAAATTGAAACATGTTAGGGCCGGCCTGTGGCTCACTTGGGAGAGTGTGGTGCTGATAAGACCAAGGCCACGGGTTCGGATCCCATATAGGGATGGCCAGTTAGCTCTCATGGGAGGACGTGGTACTGACAACACCAAGTCAAGGGTTAAGATCCCCTTACCAGTCATCTTTAAAAAAAGAAAAAAAAAAAGAAATTGAAACATGTTAACTTCCACAATGAGTGGGTTACTTTCTCAATTCCAGATCACCTCTTTGAATGACTGCTGCTGTTAGTACTTTGTGCTGGGCATCGTGCTCAGTGCTTTCTCTATGTCATGTCATTTGATTCTTGCAGTATTCCTGTGAATTAGGCAGCATTGTACCCATTGTTCAGATGAGAAAACTGAGGTGAAGTTACCTGCCCAAGGTGATATAGTTGCTGAGTTACCCCCCCTGGAATTTAACCGACATTTCACATATCCCACAATATCTTTGGGTGGTGCCCCCTTCACATTTTCCCATTTTCAGCTCTTTGTCAGCTATCCTTGGGAATAAGGTCAAATTAATGAAAACGTATGTTTTGACACTCATTACATGTTTGCCTTTTGTGTGGCTTGATCTTGAAATTATGATGGGTGTCTGTGTTAACTGAAATTCTACCTACAGCCAAAATTATATTTTTCTTTTCAGTATTAACTAGGGTTTGTTTCTCATTTTTCTTTCTCTGTGCAGACAATTTCTGTAGCTGTAGTTGGTTCTTGGTGAGCATAGATAGTAAATTAGATGAACTTCACTAATTGTATTTTTTGACTAATGGGATATTCATATAACTACAGGAGAAAATTGTTTATGCACATGTACTTTCCTAGAGAGTTTTCAGATTTTGGCTCCCTACCTTAAAGGACATCTTGATTCCTTAAACAAAATCATTTCTGTACACTGCCTTTTGCACTGACCCTTTAAAAGCCAGTATATTCAGTCCTTGATTTTTCTATTTAAAAAGCAACAAATAAAACACAGCTATAAGGAGAGCAAACGGCAATGGAAGCCCAGACCTGGGTGAGAATGGGAAAGTCGATGCGGGAGTGCTGTCAGTAGTCAAGGATTGTTATAGCTGCAGGAACTATCTGTCACCTTGCATACCGTTGCCTTGCTGTTTCAGTACCTGAATTTGTATTAGTTCTTTTATATTATTTTATCTTTAAAAAAAAAAAAAAAAAGCTTGTTCTCGAGCAGGAAACAAACCACATGGTAGAAATGACCAGGCTGTTTCAGTACCTGAATTTGTATTAGTTCTTTTATATTATTTTATCTTTAAAAAAAAAAAAGCTTGTTCTCGAGCAGGAAACAAACCACATGGTAGAAATGACCAGAGAAGCACTTTCTGGTGAGCAGTCCTGTTCCAGGCCTGGGATGCTCTGAGACTGCCTTCTTGTAGATTGGAAAGGCCAGTGTTGCTTTTTCTTAGGTTCCCAAATGCATTTTTAAAGCTTCTATATGGAAGTTATTTCGCGGTAAATGTAGTCAGAAATAATGAACTGAACCACACTAGGTGTTAAGTATATTGCTCTGAAGTATTAAGATCTTTGGCTGGTGAACCTTATAGAGTAGGGTTGTTTTCTCTGTTCAAAAAGTTTTATAGAGAACCTCTATAAAACTGCATGAATAAGAGAGACACAGTTCTTGCTGGAAGGAGCTGACTTTTGATTTCTGCTTCCAGTGGACCTTCTGGGGCTCCTGAAGTGGCGATCGAACACCAACTTGCTGCAGCAGAACTTGAGGCAGTTGATGAAAGTCGATGGGGGTGAAGTGGTGAAGGTAACGTGGACCCCTGAGGGATGTTCATCTTGTTTATATTAACAGATGGAGGCACTGACTCCAAGGTAGCATAGGATTCTGGTTATAACCCCTTTAACAGATAGTCACATACACCTCTCAGTGGGCAGCATGCTTCTCGGATTCTGGTTTGGGCGGTCTGTCTGGGTTAACTGGGAAGGGGATGGGCTTTGGATTCAGCCTAGTCTTGAGTCATGTTTCCTCTTACCATGGTCCTCACTGCAGGACCAATGACAGTTACACAACCTTGTTAAGCCTCACCTTCCCTTTCTGTAAGAAGAAGATAACACGAGTGCCTTCTCCTAGTGTTGCTGGAGGGTTAGATGAGATACGTTAGCCTGTGTCTGGCCCCTGGGAGATGTTCAGTGAGCGTCAGCTCTTTGTGTTGTTATCTTGATGGTTGTTATTACTGTCATCATCATTATCTGCCTTGGCTCATGACTCCCTGAGACCCTCTGTGAGTGACTTGGTGAGGCATGTGCTGTGGTAGAAAGACCATGGCACTGAGTGTCTTGTCTTGACCATTTTCTTCCCATATGGGCTTGGACTCATTTCTTTTCATTTTTTATTTTTTAAAATTTTAACTTCTATGTATATGTTGTAGTTGATTTTTGTGTCCTTTTACCTGTTCCTCTTTCCCCACTCCCTCTCTCCACCCCCACTACATCATGTCTGTTCACTTTTCTTAACAAGTTCAAGGAACTGTTATGATTGTTGTGTCTTCTTCCCCCCCACTCTTTATTTGTTTGTATATTTATTTATTTATAAATTTTTAGCTCCCACAAATAAGTGAGAACATGTACTATTTCTCTTTCTGTGCCTGACTTGTTTCACTTAATGTAATTTTCTCTAAGTCCATACATGTTATTGCAAATGGTAGTATTTTATTCTTTTTTATAGCAGAGTAATATTCCATTGTGTAGATATACCACAGTTTCCTTATCCACTCATCAGATGATGGACATTTGGGCTGGTTCCAGCTCTTGGCTATTGTTAATAGAGCTGCAATAAACATGGGAGTACATGTATCCCTTCGGCATGATGATTTCCATTCCTCTGGATATATTTTCAGCAGTGGAATAGCTGGGTCATATGGTAGATCTATCTGTAATTGTTTATGGAAAATGGTATGGAGGTTCCTCAAAGGTTGCACCATTTTGCAGTCCCACCAACAATGTATAAAAGTTCTTTTTTCTCCACAACGTTGCCAGCATTTATCATTCGGAGTCTTTTGGATATTAGCCATCTTAACTGGAGTGAGATGGTATCTCAAAGTGGTTTTGATTTGCATTTTCTGAATGCTAAGTGATGTTGAGTGTTTTTTCATGTGTCTGTTGGCCTTTGAGAAATGCCTATTCAGCTCCTTTGCCCATTTTTTAATTGGGTTATTTGTTTTTTTGCTGTAAAGTTGTTTGAGTTCCTTGTATATTCTGGATATTAATCCTTTGTCAGATGTGTATTTTACAGATATTTTCTCCCACTCTGTTGGTTGTATTTTTACTCTGTTGATTGTTTCTTTTGCTGTGCAGAAGCTTTTTAGTTTGATATAATCCCATTTGTTTATTTTATCTTTAGTTGCCTGTGCTTTTTGGGTCCTATTCATGAATTCTGTACCCACTCCTACTTTCCGGAGTGTTTCCCCTATGTTTTCTTTAAGGAGTTTTATTGTTTCAGGATGTATATTTAATTCTTTAATCCATTTTGAGTTGATTTTAGTATATGGTTAGAGGTACAGGTCTAGTTTCATTCTCCTACATATGAATATCCAGTTTTCCCAGCACCATTTGCTGAAGAGGCAGTCTCTTCATTAGTGTGTAGACTTGGTGCCTTTGTCAAAGATCAGATGGCTGTAGGCATGTGGGTTGATTTCTGGGTTCTCTGTTCTATTCCATTGATCCATGTGTCTGTTTTTTTGCCATTACCATGCTGTCTTGGTTATTGCAACATTGTAGTATAGTTTAAAGTCAGGTAGTGTTATGCCTCCAGCTTTATTTTTTTTTGCTCAGGATTGCTTTGGCTATGCGTGGTCTTTTGTAATTCCATATAAATGTCTGGGTAGTTTTTTCCATATCTGAGAAAAATGTTATTGGAATCTTGATGGGAATCGCATTGAATCTGTAAATCACTTTGGGTAATATGGACATTTTCACAATGTTAATTCTTCTGATCCGAGAGCATGGAATATCTTTCCATCTTCTTGTGTCCTCTTTAATTTCTCTCAACAGTGCTTTGTAGTTCTCTTCGTAGAGAGTTTTCACATCCTTGGTTAAGTTTATTCTTAAATATTTTATCGTTTGGGGGGCTATGGTAAATGGGCTGACTTTCTTGACTTGTTTTTCAGCATGTTCACTGTTGAAGTATAGAAATGCTATTGATTATTGTGTGTTGATTTTATATCCTGCAACTTTGCTGAAATCAGTTATCAACTCTAAGAGTTTTTTGTGTAGAGGCTTTAGGCTGTTCAATATACAGGATCTTATCATCCGCAAACAGGGACAGTTTGACTTCATCTTTTCTAATCTGGATGCCCTTTATTTCCTTCTCTTCTCTGATTGCTCTGGCTAGTACTTCCAACACTATGCTGAGTAGGAGTGGTGAGAGTGGGCATCCTTGTGTAGTTCCTGTTCTTAAAGGAAAAGCTTTCAGCTTTTCCCCATTCAGGATGATATTGGCAGTGGTTTATCATATATGACTTTAATTGTGTTGAGATACTTTCCATCTATACCTAACTTGTAGAGAGTCTTTATCATGAACGAATGTTAAATTTTGTCAAATGCTTTTTCAGTGTCTATAGTGATGATCATATGGTTTTTGTCTTTGCTTTTATTGATGTGGTGTGTCTCATTTTTATTGATTTGCTTATGTTGAACCAACCTTGCATCCCTGGGTTGAATCCCACTTGATCATGGTGTATAATTTTGTGTGTGTTGCTGTATTCTCTTAGCTAGTATTTTATTGAGGAATTTTGTGTCTATATTCATGAAGGATATTGGCCTGTAGTTTTCTATTTTTGATGTATCTTTGTCTGGTTTTGGTATCACGGTGATGTTTGCCTCACAGAATGAGTTTGGGACAATGGCCTTTGTTTCAATCTTTTGGAATAGTTTGTAGAGAATTGGTATCAATTCCTCTTTGAAGACTTGGTAGATCACTGCAGTGAACCCATCTGGTCTTGGCTTTTCTTCAGTGGGAGCCTTCTGATAATAGCTTCAATCTCTTTCATTGTTATTGGTCTGTTCAGATTTTCTGTATCTTCTTGTTTCAGTTTTGGTAGTTTGTGTGTCCAGAAATGTATCCATTTCCTCCAGATTTTCAAATTTGTTGGCACATAGTTGTTTATAGTAGTTTCTAATGATTCCTTGTCTTTCTGAGGTATCAGTAGTAATATCACCTTTTCAGTTCTAAGTTTTGTTATTTGGGTCTTCTCTCTTCTTTTCCTAGCCTTGCTAAAGGTTTGTCAATTCTTTTTTTTTTTTTTTTTTTTTTTTTTTTTTTTTTTTTCT